TCCCATCTTCTGTCTAGAGGAGCAATCCTCATGCCTCTATGTGCCAGCTACTCGGGTGAGGCTGAGGCAGGAGTTTGATCGCTTGAGCCCAGCGGAGTCATGAGGGTTGCTATGTGAGCGAGGCTGACACCACAGCACTCTAGCTCGGGCGACAGAGTGAGAGCGTCTGTCTCAAAAAAAAAAAAAAAAAGAAAGAAAGAAAATTTCCAAAAAGGACACTCCCCTGCCCACCTGCCCACTGGCCTGAAGCAGGGATGCTGGTTTTAATTCCCAAAAGGAGTGGGGGAGTATGTCACCTACTTTGTTCAAAGGAAAAGCTTTCAAAACGTCTGAGTTAGCTTAATACACAGAGACCCTGAAGATATGGGAACTAGGTATTTTTAAATGCTTGTACTTTTTTCTGCTCTAAGGATGTCTTCTTTAAATGGAATCCAGCATAAAAGGGATTGAAATACATGATGCAAATGCTTTTGAGAGAGAGAGTGAAATTAATTTGCACAACATGGAGAAAGACGCAATGTGCACATAAGTTCCGCAAGGATTCACTGAGCCATCTGGGCTTCCATGGCTTGTGCTGTCCATTCTGGTGCTGTTTGACTAATTTTCTCCAAAAGGTTATTCACTTGGAAACAGAGTGACTGGATCTGCTTGTCCCACGTTGGTAGGGCTTCCCGGGCTACAGAAAAAAGAGAATAAACGTACAAAACTGCAATCACTCCTCTGTGCTCATAGCAAATGTGAGTGAAAAGATAAATAAGGTAGTATCAATTTTTTTTTAAAGTTTACTCCAAAAATCTTGGCTAATAAAATTAAGCTAATTAAGAAATAGTTAAGAAAGAGTACCCAAATCACTGGCCACAAAGTATAAAAACAAAACAAAAAGATACATGCGGATACACATTATTACTGGGTTCCCCCCCAAAATAAGACCTACCCGTAAAATAAGCCCCTGCAGGATGTCTAAGCATGTGGGCAATAGAAGCCCTACCCCGAAAACCAGCCCTAGTGGTGGGCGTGGCTATGAAAATCAGCCCTGGTGGTGGGCGTGGCTATGAAAAAAAATCAGTCCCTGGTGATGGGCGTGGCTATGAAAATCAGCCCTGGTGGTGGGTGGGCTATGAAAATCAGCCCTGGTGATGGGCGTGGCTATGAAAATCAGCCTGGTGGGGCGTGCTATGAAAATCAGCCCTGGTGACGGCGTGGCTGCGCAGCGCATCTGCACAACCACGCGTGTCGTCGCGGAGCGGGAAAGAACAGGAGCAGCCTTCTCATCCGCCCGTGAGAGCTCTAGTGCTCGACAGGAGAGATCGGGGCGGTGCTCTAAAGGAAACAGAGTCGCAAGACATTCAGGTGGATTCGGGTCTGGAGAGTGAGGATGATGTTCCAGAAGAAGACGACCTCACTGTATTTGAATCAATATAGATGGTTGTACCGTGCTTAAACAAAATAACACATCTCCTGAAAATCGGCCCTAGGGTGTCTTCTGGAGGAAAAATAAATGAAGACCCTGTTTCATTTTTGGGGAAACATGGTAGTAGTAGTGAAAACAAAATAAAACCAACCGTTAACCACAACTGCCACAGAAAAAGACAACTTCACTGAAGCTGGTTTTTTCATCACTAACATTTACTGATTTGTAGACACTGCCACCTCCTGGGGAAAGCAAGTCTATTCATGTATTCAAGGCTGTCTCTGACTTTGAAGGATAAATATTATAACATTTAAACAAACAAGTCATCTTGAATCCACCAGGTTTTTCTACATACCAGCAATATGAAGTTAGAAATTAAAAACTGAGGGGAAAGTCTCATTCAAGGCAGCACCAAAATTTACAAAAAAAAGTGCACAGATTTAATGCACATTTTTAATGACAAAAATCTATAAAATATTAATATAGGCCATAAAATAACTTGAGTAGACACAAATTGCATTCCCAGGTGGAAAAACGCAATAATATAAAAATATCAGTTCCTCCTCCTTAATACATAACTTTGAGAAAACTCCAAAGACAACCCTTCTTTTTTCTATTTTGCTTTCTAACCAGGACAAAATGATTAAAGTTAATAAGAAAGAATTGGCATTTGAGAATGGCCAAGGTAATTCTGAAAATGAAAAATGGTGGTGGAATTGCAGTATATCGATACAATGGAATACCATTCACCCTGAAAAAGGGGTTGAAATACTTACTGCAAGTCATAACATGAACGAACCCCCAAAATACTATTGAGTATTTTAAGTGAAATTATTATCATCTTGTTACAGATCAGTAGAACCAAAGAGAGTACAGAAATAGAGTCAAACATAGGAACCTAACATATGTCAAAGATCACAATTTTAACAGAAAGGGTGTTTTATTTAATAAATGATACTTGGTAGGGTGTAGTGGCTCACGCCTATAATCCTAGCACGCTAGGAGGCCAAGGCGGGAGGATCATTCAAGTTCAGGAGTTCGAAACCAGCCTGAGCCAGAAGAGCGAGACCCTGTCTCTACTAAAAATAGGAAGAAATTAGCTGGACAACTAAAAATACATACAAAAAATGAGCCGGGCATGGTGGCGCATGCCTGTAGTCCCAGCTACTCGGGAGGCTGAGGCAGGAGGATCACTTGAGCCCAGGAGTTGGAGGTTGCTGTGAGCGAGGCTGACGCCATGACACTCTAGCCTGGGCAACACAGTGAGACTCTGTCTCAAAAAAAAAAAAAAAAAAAAGTAACTGAAATAATGGACCATGGAATCTAAGTTAAACAGGGAGAGAAGTAAACATAAAAAAGGGTCGCATGAGCTGGAAGAAAGCCGAAGAGTCAATTGACCAGAGGGTGTAAACTAGGTGGGAATAAGAAGCTGAGAAGGCATTAGTGAGAAATTTAAGGGATCCACTGCCCAGTCTGCCTGCATTAGCGTAATGAGCTGCTGAACAGGAAATACAGCTGCCCTTGCTACGTGCCTGATACATGATACGCGGTCCCTAAATGTTTGATGAGTAAATGAATGAACTGGTAGCACAATTCAAGTTTCAACGTTTTTTTAACATAGAAAATGCGACATTAAGTAGATTCATGAATATAACTTCTTAAAAATTACTTTAAATTATTTCTTTCGGAAATACGTTCATTCCAGTAACAAGATTCTGGGTCAAAAGACATTGTTCAACGTGTTTTAATCACAAATATAAAACAGTTCACTGGCATTTCATGATGACAGAAATGCACAAAACCTCTTACTTTCAAAATGAACTATTCCATCGATCTGGTCAATAAATCCATTCATACGTCCTTCTGTTATCATTTGAGATGCTATTTTTTCTGCCTATAAAAAAAACACAAAAAACTCTCAGAAACTTTAATTATATCTAACAGTTACTCACATAAGAGAACTGAAAGCTTTTGGTTTAAGTACCTACCACTAAGCTTTACATATGTGCTGATTTGCCATTCACTAGAAGAATAAATCTTGTAAACCTGGCTATTTCCCCAATTCTTTCTGAGTATAAGAAATATTAAGTATTTATAATATAAGAAATATAAGTATTTATTCTGAGTATAATAATAATACTCATTATTTCTTATTTCATTATTTTAAGTTAATCGGGATCTGTTTTTCTTATAGAATTTTTACTTGAATATAACTTTTTTATCCATTTTCGCCTCTGCTCAAAATAAAATCAAACTAACAAATTTTCTACTCACCGGGTCCACACCTCAAAAAAATAAACTAGTGTTACTGCATTTCAATTTCCACAGTATTTATTACCCCATGAACTCTCTAAGAAAGTACTTTCTAATACTATTGTTGTACTAGTTTAATATTTAAATAATTTATTTCCATTTATTGAGGCTTTTTTTTTTTTTTGAGACAGAGTCTCACTTTGTTGCCCAGGCTAGAGTGAGTGCCGTGGTGTCAGCCTGGCTCACAGCAACCTCAATCTCTGGGCTCAGCGATCCTCCTGCCTCAGCCTCCCGTGTAGCTGGGACTACAGGCATGCGCACCATCCCGCTAATTTTTGTATATATATTTTTAGTTGGTCAATTAATTTATTTCTATTTTTGGTAGAGACGGGGTCTCACTCAGGCTGGTTTTGAACTACTGACCTTGAGAATCCGCCCGCCTCGGCCTCAAAAGTGCTAGGATTACAGGCGTGAGCCACCACGCCCGGCCTATTGAGGCTTTTTATGTGTAATTTTTGTGGTAGTTGCTAACATTTATCAATTATATATTTTATTTTCTCATTATTCCCTAGTTTTGTCTCTTAACTTCCTTTCTATATATTGGAATCAAGAAAATACCTTAGCTGCGGGGATTTCTAGGAGAGCTCCAAGTTCTTCAAACGTAATATTATTATATAATTTGCTTGCAGACAACAAATTGTGTTCAATAACAGCTCTGTCCAAGATGCTGGAACCTTAAATAAACATAAATAAGACAGTTGTAAGTTTGAAACTAGTTTTACACTCTAAAAAGACACTTTCTTTTTTTTTTTTTTTTTTTTTGAGACAAGAGTCTCGCTTTGTTGCCAGGCTAGAGGTGAGTGCCGTGGCGTCAGCCTAGCTCAAGCAACCTCAAACTCCTGGGCCGAGTGATCCTTCTGCCTCAGCCCCGTGTAGCTGGGACTACAGGCATGCGCCACCATGCCCGGCTAATTTTTTATATATATATCATTGGCCAATTAATTTCTTTCTATTATAGTAGAGACGGGGTCCTCGCTCTTGCTCAGGCTGGTTTTGAACTCCTGACCTTGAGCAATCCGCCCGCCTCGGCCTCCAAGAGCTAGGATTACAGGCGTGAGCCACAGTGCCCGGCCAAAGACACTTTCTTTATCCTGAACATTTCTAGGCATGTAGTAACTTAAAATCATCATCATTATTTCTCTGACTAAAATTTTTAAAGTACTGGGCAACACAGTGAGACCTCACTTTTATAATTAAAAAAAAAAAGCCGGGCAAGGTGGCTCACGCCTGTCATCCTAGCACTCTGGGAGGCCGAGGCAGGAGGATTGCTCCAGGTCAGGAGTTCAGCCTGAACAAGAGCGAGACCCCGTCTCTACTATAAAGAGAAAGAAATTAATTGGCCAACTACTATATATAGAAAAAATGATCCGGGCATGGTGGCGCATGCCTATACCAGCTATTCGGGAGGCTGAGGCAGGAGGATCGCTGAGCCCAGGAGTCTGAGGTTGCTGTGAGCGAGGCTGACGCCACGGCACTCACTCTAGCCCGGGCAACAAAGTGAGACTCTGTCTAAAAAAAAAAAAAAAAAAAAAAATTAGCCAGGCGTGGTAGCACATGCCTGTAGTTCTAGCTACTCATGGCGCTGAGAAGGAGGATTACCTGAGCTCAGGAGTTTGAGGCTGCAGTGAGCCAGGATTGTGCCACTGCACTCTAGCCTAAGCAGCAGACTGAGAACCTGTCTCTAAAAACAATTTTTTTTCAAGCAACCAAAATGCCTTATTTGGCTAATATGCAATTAAATAAAAATAACATAATTAGAAAATGAGCAAATGGTAAGTAATTATTAAATAGGTAAATGGATTTAACCCTTTGGGTTTGGGGTTTCACTTTTTTTTTTTTGAGACAGAGTCTCACTTTTTTCCTGATGATCTACATAAAGAATATTGTATGGGAAAAAGAATATTTCCTTTATAGAAACATGAGAATCAACTCAATTGCTTCTTAAAGTGCAATTAAATAAAAGAAATTCAATAGTAGGTCAATACATCCCTTCACAATGGTCTGGCTTAACTCAGGGCAGTAAGCTTGCATGAAGTGCACATCTTTTAGCTAGCCCCCACGTTAATGACTCTCTCTGCAGCTAAACTCATCTGCAATTTTATCTTGATCTTTTCCATGTTTCTGATTGTCCTGCATCTATATTGCTATTATCGTGTGTGTCATCATTACAAGCTTCTTTAAAACCTTCTCTAGACAAATGGACATAAAATAATTAATGTTATGAACAAGCAACTATTAAAAACTTCTTTCCTGGCAAACACAGTCTGACTCAAGCAAATACACCCCCGAACTAGGAAACACGACACCAAGTTCTATTCTTATGGGCAACACTTTACCCTGAGTAACCTTGGGGCAAGCAACTATGCCAAATTCCGATGCACCTAAAATAAGACGGGGTTAGAATCACGCTATTCCAGTCTGATGCTTGGGACGGAATTAGATCAGGTCAGATCAGGATCAGCTCGATCAGGATTGATTTTACTTATCGACGGTTTGAGTTGATTAAAAACCAGGCATTATAATAAGCATAGCCTATAATTTTTCTGCTCTTACAGTTTGCAAAAAACAAAAACGCATCATTTCACAAAATGCTTTAACGATAAGGCTATTTTTACACTGGAAGCCCATGTTTGTGTAGGATGCTCGTCTTCAGTCGATATAATGTCCCTCCTCTTTTTATCAGGAAGTGGGCTATACAGAAACGTAAAAGGATAGCGAGATGCTTCTAATTCGATATGGCGTCTGCTAGTCCGCACCAGAGGAAGGCAAACGTCTACCACCGCGCGTGCGAGACATGGTCATTACCGTCAGCCGTGGTGGCCTTCTGGTGTGGCATCAGCATGGCGGCGAACTCCTGCAGCTGGTTCCCTCGGATGATCCTGTCCAGGTACATTTTCTCCAGGATCCCGTACGCAGCGAGCTGCTGGCACCTCTCGTCCTTAAAGAGAGTGGCCAGCATCCGAGAACGCTGCTGTCCTGAGAGAGACAGATGAACAGCAAACATCTCTACGTGCTCCTTCATTAAAGATGATCCATCTAAGGCCGGGCGCGGTGGCTCACGCCTGTCATCCCATCCCAGCACTCTGGGAGGCCGAGGCGGGAGGATCGCTGGAGGTCAGGAGTTCGAGACCAGCCTGAGCAAGAGCGAGACCCTGTCTCTACTATAAATAGAAAGAAATTAATCGGCCAACTAAAAATATATATTAGAAAAAATTAGCCGGGCGTGGTGGCGCATGCCTGTAGTCCCAGCTACTTGGGAGGCTGAGGCAGGAGGATCGCTTGAGCCCAGGAGTCTGAGGTTGCTGTGAGCGAGGATGACGCCACGGCACTCTAGGCCGGGCGACAGAGTGAGACTCTGTCTCCAAAAAAAAAAAAAATACATAAAATAAAAAATAATCCATCTAATGACCCCACTTTTGCCTGCTAAAATATACTCTCAATACTCATGATTCACAGTGGTTACAGTCGATAAAATTGCTGCCAACACTGAATTAGCAAATACACAACTGCTCCTCCTATGGAAAATACCCCTAGGCGTTAAGTGCCGTGGGCTTCTGGTCACAACATTTTTGTCAGCCAATCAATTATAGCCTTGTTTTATGTGTGCTCCCATTTAAAGAGATCTTATTTAACATATCCTATGGACTCATTAACATTGAACTCCTGACCAACGCTCTAACTCACACCTGAATGAAGCTTATCTCACACACAAATTTTCTCTGCAAGGCACTTAAGAACACTAGACAGCACTTTCAGCACGCTGGGTGGGGGCCGTTTTAAAAAGCAAAATCACCGATGAAAGCACAAAAGTGTGAAAAACATGATAGTAAATAGACCACGAAAAGGACACTTGTTTGTAGTGTAAGAGCTGAAAACAAAAGCAGAGCATCAACTTATTCAGCCAGAGCTGAAAATGTATGCTCTGGGTCCAGTTTTTTGCCACTCTGCACAAGTCTACAAATGACTGTGAAAACACGGTAAGTATTGGCTTTGGGGTCACGAATAAATTTTTAGCAAGTAGGTAAGTTCACAAACATGGAATCCACAGATAAGGAGGATCAAATGTATATTCATGTGCTAAGACCTAGATAGAAACCAAAAGGTTATAAGTGGTTAAAAGTACAGGTAAATTTCTATTTTCTTTCTCTTCCTTACTTGTACTTCATAATAAATGAAATGCAAATTAAAATTAAAGTGAGATACTATTTTTCATCTACCAGATCAACAGAGATCAAGAAATTTGGTAGGGGCGAGGGGGGCGTGGGCAATATAGGTAACCTTAACACTTGTACCCCAATGATATGCTAAAATAAAAAATTAAATTAAATTAAAAAAAAAAAATTTGGTAATACCTGTGTGACGAATCAGGCACTTATGAACATTTTTGTCTGGAGTGTAAGATTACAGGGCAATGTATAATTTCTATCAACAGTTTAAAAGTATGTACCTTCATTCTACTTCAAGTTCTCCCCAAATAAAAAAAAATAAAAATTAAAAAAAAATAAAAATAAAAAAAGTATGTACCTTTGGATCCAGAAATTTAGTCTATACATATACTCATATATGTGCACAATCACTACAGTGTTATCTGTAATTGACTAAATAAATTATGGTAAAGCCAAACAAAAGAAAATCAAAAAGAATGAGTCATATGTACTAACATGTAAAGATCACTAAGATATCCAAGATCAAGGTGCTAGCAAAAAAGGAAAAGAAACAAGATAGAAAAAAAATTTTATAAAAATTTGAAAAAAAAAAAAAAGATCACTAAGATGTATATACTTAACACGAAGGCCAGGCATGGTGGCTCACGCCTGTAATCCTAGCTCTCTGGGAGGCTGAGGCAGGAGGATCACTTAAGCTCAGGAGTTTGAAACCAGCCTGAGCAAGAATGAGACCCCATCTCTATTAAAAAAAAATAGAAATTAGCTGGACAACTAAAAATATATAGAAAAAATTAGCAGGGCATGGTGGCGCATGCCTGTAGTCCCAGCTGCTTAGGAGGTTGAGGCAGAAGGATTGCTTGAACCCAGGAGCCTGAGGTTGCTGTGAGCGAGGCTGACACCACGGCACTCACTCTAGCCCAGGTAACAGAGCAAGACTCTGTCTCAAAAAAAAAAAAAAAAAAAAAAAGAAAAAAGCAAGTAGCAAAAGTATGTATATCATGCTACCATTTAGGTATAAAGAACATGTTTATAGTGAAGGAAATATATGAAACCAGTAATAGTTGTTTAGAAAATGAAGCAGTAACACGCTTGTGTGCTGCCTTTTCAGTAACAAAAAGGAAATTACCACTTTATAATGAATGAAATGTGTAGTCTGAACATGTCATTAGGCTTTCAACTAAAGATTCCAGAATGATTTTTAAAAAGTCAAGGTTTAGAATTAGCATTTCCTCTTAATGCCCTTTCCACTTTATAAACTGAGTGACTTTACATGCTATAATTTAGTAGAAAGAACAAAGACTGGTTTGTTATATTTATTGAAGAAAAAGATGAATGCCAGGTCTAACACTGAGGCTTGAAGGTTAAATAAAAATAAACACACACAAAAAAAATTCCAAAAACAGTACATTAACCCTTTGCACTCGCTTGCTTTTTTCTCGATTCCTTTATTCTACTTGGGATTTAATTTTTTAAATACCCCAGATTTTACAAAGCGTGGCAGTAGAATAAAAAACTGGAGTTTCTTTTCATACAAACTTATTTATTTGAATTTTTTTATATTTCAAATTATTGATACATTCAAAGAGTAATTTTAATCTCTATAATTTTTCATGGTGTGATATTTTTTTGAAACATTCACCCCCATGAAGACCTAGTTTACATTCACATGTTTCACGAATATAAATTGTCTCTCTTCTTCCTCCTTTGATTTTGCTGTTAGAACAAACAACACAATCTTTGTGTTTTTTGTTAGGGTGAGGTGTGAATACATGGAGCTTTCCACCCAAACGTTGCTCTAAGTTAGTGGATAATAATCTACCCCTGGAAGTTAGTGTGCCGTCTCTGAATTCTCCAACACGATCATGTACTAGTTTCCCAATAAATTTCACATGTGTTATCGGTTGTTCATTTTTTTCTTTTTTGGCATTCTTTGTACAATATATAGGAATGTACAACACTGACCTTGAGCCCCCAGAAAAACAATGTGCGCCACCATTTTAGAGTCAAAAAGCTCAAAAAGGCATGATGCAACGACTCATGCCCTGGACCCTGCTACTCAAGACTGCTGCCTATGCAGAAGCTAAGCTTAGGTGGTGGCACCAGTTGAGACGGCATTTACAGTTTACTTGTCCTTTCATGCTAATGAAAACAAGAAAAGATACTGGAAAAATGGACAAAATCCCCCTCCCCCCCATGGTGAAGCTACGTGTCGAGTGTGGCTCCACACACGAGCTGCTACCGATGCCAGCCGTGTCAAGTCACACTCGACATCCGAGTGCAAAGGGTTAATTACCATTCCATCAATCTCTAGATTTTAATATTTGTTTCCTTCTGTGTAATTCTCACTTCATTTAACATCTATACCTTCATTGAAATTTTAGGAAAATTGAACTTTATATTATCTCTCTTAAGTATTCCTAACACACACGGGTAACAGGCTGATACATGCATATTAAATTACTTTGACAATTTTATTGCCGTTTTTAACTGTTTAAATGCTTAAACTAAATTCACCACAATTGTATTAAAAAGCCATTCCTCTGAAGAATAGCTCCTTGCTAAATTTTCCATTAGTAACCAACCTGAAGTCACTAAGATAACTGTTTATTGAAGCATAAATTATGTGTTTACCTGCAGATGCTAAGATGGTACAGTGCAAAGCATGTTTTAAGGCCTCTAGTCTTTCACTTTCATGGACTATTGTCTTGTAAGAGAGCTCATTGTACCTTTGTGCAGCTTCAATGAATTTTCTTCTATAATCAAGAACGCGTGCATAGCATACCTGTAAAGGGAAAATGTTGCAGTTAGGAGACCAAATAAAAAGAGAGAGAGAGAGAGAGAGAGAGAGAACAAATTTCTAATAGTTAAGAGCATTTATCTGATGTTCTGGAACATCTTAGGATGGTACAATTCTCTAATGCAAAATTAATTCCAGATCAGCTCAGCTGTTACCTTATAATGTATCTGCAATTGTTCATTGGTTGACTCATTCTGAAGCAGTGATGCTCGATTTATGTAAGCCTCTGCCTGGACCGGGTCATCGTCCTCCAGGTAGAGCCTGGCAATCTTCAGGTAAGTCTCCAGCTTATAATCTACGTTGTACTGTCTAGGACGTAACAGGAAAACACACAATGACACAATGTTTTATCAAGAAAATTTGTAGGAAAGATAGAAAATATGGTTATTTTTTCCCATATATATATATATATTCTGTTAAAAAGGAATCAAACTTGTCTACATTATACTATAGAAAAACTAAAAAATAAGTTTTCTTGAAGTTTTATTATTTTTAACACTATTTTGATCACATTATATCTTAGCTACTTCTAATCCTCAGATAATCTCAGGTAAGCTAAAGATCTTAAGAGAGCAACTGCGCAGTTCAGGGCCATATCACGTACCAGTAGTGGGACTATATGCCAGCACAACCTTCCTAGAAAACGATTTGGCAATACCATCTGCAACAATCCTTTGAATCCTTTAAAATGCATATATCCTTAACCATTTATACTTTTTGTTTTTTGAGACAGAGTCTCACCGTGTTGCCCAGGCTAGAGTGAGTGCCGTGGTGTCAGCCTCGCTCACAGCAACCTCAACCTCCAGGGCTCAAGCGATCCTCCTGCCTCAGTCTCCCCAGTAGCTGGGACTATAGGCATGTGCCACCATGCCCGGCCAATTTTTTTCTATATATATATTAGTTGGCCAATTAATTTCTTTCCTTTTACAGTAGAGACGGGGTCTCGCTCTTGCTCAGGCTGGTTTCGAACTCCTGACCTCAAGCAATTCGCCCGCCTCACCCTTCCAGAGTGCTAGGATTACAGATGTGAGCCACCGCGCCCAGCCAACCCATAATACTTTATCTCTTGAAAACAAATCCTGAAAAGATAGTAAGGGATGTGCCCACATATGTATGTACAAGAATATTCATTTGTCAAGTTATTTACAAATATCTATACTAAGAAAAAAATTGGAAATCACCTATTATGATATTTATGGTAATCAAGCTGCAGTGCATAAAAATGGTAGAATACTACACAGTACAGTTATAATCATTACTATGTGATAATTCATCATGTATTTTTGCTAAGTGAAAAAACTGGATAAAATAGTGTGTAAAACACCATGAAAATGTATTTCTATATGCACATATCAAAATAGTAATGGCAATTATCTATGGGTAGTGAGATTACAGGTGGTTTTCTTTTTCTTTTTTTTTTGACACAGTCTCTCCTTATTGCCCAGGCTAGAGTGCCGTCCCATCAGCCTAGCTCACAGCAACCTCAATCTCCTGGCTCCTGGGCTCAAGCCATCTTTCTGCCTCAGCCTCCCGAGTAGCTGGGACTACAAGAATGCGCCACCATGCCCGGCTAATTAATTTTTTCTATATATTTTTAGTTGGCCAATTAACTTCTTTCTATTTTTAGTAGAGAAGGAGTCTTGCTCATGCTCAGGCTGGTTTCGAACTCCTGACATCGAGCCATCCGCCCACCTAGCCTCCCAGAGTGCTAGGATTACAGGCGTGAGCCACTGTACCCGGCCCCTTTTACCCCACTTCTTTGCTCCCTTTCTTGAAAACTCCCCAGGCTGGTCTTGAACTCCTGAGCTCAAGCGATCCTCCCGCCTGGGCCTCCCACAGTGCTAGGATTGCAGGTGTGAGCCACCAAACTCGGCCTCTTCCTTGGTCTTATTAAGAAAACACTTCAAACCTGTTCTCATTTAGGGCCTTCACACGTAGCCATCCCTCTAAGAGTAGGTAGTGATATTCTTTCCTCTCATAGCTCTTTCAAGTCTTTGAGAAAGTGACATCAGGGCCACTCCACCACTCCAGTCACCCTATTTAAGGATACATGCGGCAGGTTGCAGTGGCTCACGCCTGTAATCCTAGCACTCTGGGAGGCTGAGGTAGGCGGATTGCTTGAGGTCAGGAGTTCGAAACTCTCGTTCAGCCTGAGGCTGAGGCAGGAGGATCGCTTGAACCAGGAGTTGGAGGTTGCTGTGAGCGAGGCTGACGCCACGGCACTCACTCTAGCCCGGGCAACAAAGCGAGACTCTGTCTCAGAAAAAGAAAAAAGAAAAGAAGGGTACATGCAACCTGTCTCCACTTTGCCCCTTTGCTTTTCTCCATAGCATTTATCATCTTCTAACCATACTATAAAATGTATGTGTTTTATTTGTTAAATTGCTTGCCTGTTTCCTATACTAGATGTAAGCAAAATACAAGTGAACAATTTATATATCTAACATAGTCATCCGATAGCCACTATTTACTATACTTTTGTCACTTCTTT